TTCTTCCTTCTGTCTATTACCGGTCACAGTGGAAGCCTCTTCTGGGTTTCTGTTACCATGTTGCTTAAGTTTCTGAGTTAAGACTAGGGACTTCAAACGCAGACCAAGTTCGACCATTGAAATGTGCACATCAGGCTCCCATCTGACTGCAATATTAGAGGCACTGAAGAGCGAACAGATTGAAACTTCCTTACCACCACCTATACGACGTACAAACTTGGCATTTTGGATGTCACAAAGTGTCACTCTGGAAACTTGGTGAGGTTCCTCCAAAAATTCCTGGTAGATCGACTTTGCTGTTTCAAGTTCTACCTGTGTAGATTGAATCTCCTTGTTTAGAGTAAATCCGAATTTGAGTATTTCAAACGAAATTATGTACTTCAACTTCTCATGTTCCTTGGACAAAGTAGAGAAAACGCTGGCAGTTCGAGGTGAGCCATCAGCTGAGACATTAATTATAATTCTTCCACCCTGTGATCCATAATTGACACGTTTAGGATCATCAATGACTGTATTTTCCAGGCTTGAATCTCCAGCGAAATTAAGAGAGAAACGTTCAACATTCAGTTTCAACAGTTGAGTCCCTCTGCCCGATGGCTTCGATCTAGGTGCCCCTTTTTCCTGTCTGTTCTTACTACTAGCACCAGTTAAACTTTTGATATAAGCCTGACTTGACATTGCATTTACTGTAAGCGCTTCAACACTCCTGAAAGAAAATAACAGACCTATTTCTGATACGTCAACCACCAGTGTTTGTTTACCCTTAGAACCATCGCCCTCAGGTAACACTCCTTCTTTCTTGCCCCATTCCGATCTGACCTTTCTTATACTGATTAATGAGCCTGGATCTGACTCCAAACCAAAGAGGCTTTCTTTCAAACATCCCTTATGTTCATCTACCATGCAAAAATTCAGTTCATTTAGCTCCATCTGTACAGCTGTTCCCCTATTTGACATATTATTTGCAGTGACCTGAAATGAATCTAAGCCGCACTGCAAAAAAAGAAGAATTAAAGTCAGTGTTGAGATTGATTAGTAAATATTCTTGCTAGCCTTGTTGATGCTAATTAAAGATCGTGCAAAATATGCATGAACCATAATATTTCAAACTGAAACGAACAAATATAAAGATACTGAAAAACTTTTCTGAATTTAGAACCAACAAGACAGCAGCGAACACACGCCTTCTACTTACTTGGTATATCGGAGCACCGCCGGGATTGTATAGCACAACCGTCACATCAGGGGCTGAGGTGGCACATTTCCATACCACAGCTTTAAAACCAGTGGTTTCTGATTTTGCAGTGGTAGGTCTTTCCTCTTTGAGAACCATCTTTTTCTTTTTAGAGAAGTGCAAACGCAACAGCGGCTCAAATCGAGTCATTATAATGTTGCTCATTATACCTCCCAGCTTAATCTCAACCTCAGCCCTAACAGGGAAGGATTCCTGAGAGGAACACCAAGATCAGGTAATACATCAAATCATGAAGGCCCTTCTGTTAGAATTGCAGCACATGTGAAAGATATATAAAACTATAAAACCGAAAGGAGGATATGAACATTGTATAAGCTGTTTTTCTAACCATTTCCGAGTGTAAAAGCAACCAAAGCACATGGACAACAAAAAAAAAAAAAAGCACCACCAAAGACTTCTGTCTTAATTCAGAGGACTCACCTGTATTGGACAATACACCTTGGAGAAAACTCCAAATTTTGTCATCTCCAAGACAGAAACTTCAGATTCTCTAAAAAGCTGAAAGAAAAGGGAAATTTAAAGGCAGCAAACAGAGGATGGTACATCAAAACGAAAATTTCACTGAATTATTACTAAGACAACTGCCTTTTAACATACATGCATCTCCTGGAGTTCCATGACAAAATCAAGACATGTGTCTTCCTCGCCATCTTCACCAGATTGAGATTTGGCACTTCTCAATTGAAAGCCATTTATGCTGTTCGCGATAGAAAAATCATGTTCTTGATGCACAAATCTGATTTCAAGCTTCGACAAATCAAATAAAACCTACCACATAAAGTCAAAGGCACGAGTATGACTTCAGATAATGAATTGACTATACACCATATGCACAAACTCCTTTCATTGTAGAAGCAAATATTAATCTTACATGGTTGCTAACTGTAGCTTAATAAAATGTAATTTTTTCAGCAATTCTGAGTTGGATAGGTGATGCTGATGCAACATGGGAGAAACTAAATGAGCCAATTTAATCCCATGTGGTTGAAAATACATGCAGATGTGTGTATAGATAATAAATAAAAGATGCTTGCAGTTATCTCATGCTAAAAAAAAAAAAATCACTCACCTTCTCAGGGAATTTTGAAGCATGCTTTGCAACCAAAACATTCATTGGTTGCTTTGGAGGCTTCTCTGAAGTGGTGTTACCAGAACTTGATTCAGTCACTTCACCTGTGGAAGCAGCACTTGTCAGGGATTTTTTTTTCAACAGCAGCTTCTCGTTAAGATTAAAAACAGCATCCGCTAGATCTACTTCGACGTTCTTTATACTTGGACTTGATTGTCTGCTCAAGGAAGATCAAAATATGGCAGCCATGAGGATTAAAACGTACATGTGAATGAGGTAAGAAATCATATGAGTTTATCAAGCAAAAGGTACCTATTGTGACCAAATTCGCAGGAGAAGGAGAGCTTTTCGCAATGAAAAGAAGAAGAAGAAGAGCCCTCTTTGGTTTTGGAAGATGTCTGCTTAGGGAGGCAAATGTCACTGTTCATCTCAGGTGAATGCGTGGAAGTAACATGTGGTTCGCCAATCTGTACAAATATCGGCAATAGATACAGTTTGATGAAAAAATTCCCTGACCCTCTGTCCTTAGATAAATCGAGCTCCAACTCCTTGATTTCTGCTGTAGCCTTAGGTGTCTGTAGTTTTGCAAAAGGAAATAAGAACAACCAAGAGAAACGACAGTTAGTATAGTTCTAGAGAAGCCTAATTTTGTTCCACCTAGTCAAAATAGTGTTTGTGTTAAACAAGTATATCTTCTATAAAGAATAAGTTATGCACAGAAAGCTAACAGTGATTTGAGCATAAAGCACCTCATCATGGGAAATATATCTTGGCTTGTGGTCAATATGTTACTACTCTATTATCTAAATAGCCAGTGAGATAAGATTTCATCAAAATTAATGAAGATCACTGTGAGTGAATCTCTCACTATAATTTTGTTTATGGTACCAACAAAAGAAGCTAGTAGCATCACTACCATTCATGCTGCCCTCATCAAAACTAGCTCAACAAAACAGAATGAAAGGGAATTATAGCATGAAGTACAAAGAGTTTTCATAGATATCAGAGCAGGCTGCAATTACCTGCACAACCATATTTGTCATGGAAAATGAAAAGAATCTCCCCATATTAGCAAATAGCATCAACTTTCCCTTGCCACCAGATTGCGATTTCCGAGTTTTTGGTTTGCGGGGACCTTTACTTGAGTTGGAGGGTCTAGTTACTATTTTGAGGTCAGATATAGAGAATATAACTTTAGGATCCTGGATAAAAGCCGTAGCACAAAGTTCAACTAGGGATTGACTTAGATTAGCTTTAAATTCTCCAACGACTATAGACTCAATAGAACCCTGCAAATAATAAAAACAACAAACAATAGACTCAGAGTAGTTAAAAAAACCAAAGATAAAGACATCACAAAGATAAATTGATCGACATACAAACCTTCTTGAAATGCAATGCAACATCCTTCAAGCAGTTCCATCCATCAAACTGAAAACTGAGAGTTATTCCAGCAGAACGCCGGAGAATCCAAGGGAGTGACCTAATTAGAGTTGAAAATCCAAAGATCAAACGCAACTCTGATTGAGAAATCAATAAGGATTGTTGAACATCAATCTATGCTACACTCAAATTATTAATACTCAAAACTGCTAACATGGCCACCTAATTCGAATTGTTCAACAACTCTAGATTCCAAAACTTGCGGTAATCAATTCCTCAAGGATTTTTGAAAGCGAAATCAATTTCCCAAAACAATTTTGAGTAGAATAATCTCAAATCAGAAACTGGCGAAACGGTGAAAACGATCACTTGGTCATATCATAGGAAACACGATTTGAACGCCGATGAAGAGGCGAAAATGGAACATACTTGAAGAAAACCCAAAGGAGTGCGACGATCACAGCGATCGTGAAGATAAAAATGACGAGGAAAGCTGCCATTTCGGGAGGAAATCACAATACACACAGACCAAGGAAACTCGGCGGCGGTATTATCCCGATCAAGCAAATCAGCGGTCGAGACGAAGCAGACGCACTGGGGTCATAGCTCGGAAGCAAAAATTGGAGAGAGAGAAACTCAACAAGGTTACGACTGAGTCATTTGCGGTTAGAGAAGATGGAAGATCCGAGGAAGAGGAGAGAGCGTGGGAGCGGGAACGAAGAAGACGACGACTTTTCCGTTTTCTGAGGGAAGACGAAATAAATGATCCTCTGTGGTACGGTGCACCGTTATGCCACACGCATTCATCCAGGGACGTGCGTGCATGAGAGAGAGAGAGAGAGAGCGAGCCCCTTCGTCTGGGAGATTTAATCAACGCTTTCTCTATTAAGCAAGGTTTAATTTCTTAAAATCCCATTCAAATTCAATTTCGATATAAAGCTACTTGTATTTTTTTTGTGTGCAAATAAAGCTACTTGTAGTTAACTACTTTATTATATCATACCAAATTAAACAGCATAACGTTGACAAAAAAAGAAAATTAAACAGCATAACAATTCAATTAGCACGATTGACCTTTAAATGGTATTTTAATTACATCGGTTTAGAGTTCTAAGTGATTTATTTAGTCATCATAACTAATTAGTACTAAAGACAAATTCGTCCAAAATTAAAGAAATTTCAATTGTGGCCGAAGGAGAACAATGACGTACTTAATAAATAGTAAAAAGGCTTTGCGTCGTTTTCATAGCTAAAGATATTTAAATTGAAATATAAAGTATATGGGATCAGATATGGGATATTAAAGAATTACTCTTTGGAAAGGAAGAGTAAACTTTACAAGAGAGAGTGAGAAATAGTCACAATAAGGGGTTGGAGAATCGTTCTTATGCCCATAATATAAAAGAGCATTGTATTGCAGAAAATACTACTCATTCACATAGTCATTACCAAAAGATATAAAATAAACAAAACAAAAAAAAAAAAAGGCAAGAAAAAGTAGTCGAAAAATCTGGGGGAACTCTTTGTATTAACCAAAGCCGAATCCTTCGCTGGCTTCATGGATCGCGAGGAGTAGCCTCTCCTGCAGATGTTCCTTAGACGGGTACTCTGGTAGATCTAACTGATTGAAACTGCAAAAGTACTTTGAATATTAAGTTTTATGTTTACACTGAATGGATTTATAAAACCGGAAGAAGAATTGAGGTTTTACCAGGTATGAGCAGACGGCAAGTGATTAACGCTTCCATATGCCTTGTGGATTTGAAACTTCTGTGCGCCTGAAATTCCTTGAAGGGCACTAAATCCTTCCAGAGGAACCTGTATTGGATATCAAAATATTAGTGGACAGAGATAACCAAACATGTACTTTTCTCAACACTCATTTCCCATTTATCATTATCTAATGGTTTAAGATTGTCAAATCCATTTAACCTCAAAAGAGAACCTTGGAGAATTAATGTTTCTCCAAATAATTATTTAGCAAGGAAACCTGTATAATTAGCCCAAGGCCACAGAAATATAATATGTTTGTTACCTTCGAGGTTCCAGTCACAAACTGCAATAGACGGGCTTTGTCTTCTTTGCTCAATCCCTGAACAACCTCCCAGAACCACTGGATAACGGGGGATCCAGGACTGTACCCAGAATATTCCGTATTCACCCTCAGGTCATCCACTGATATATATTACAAAACAAAAGTTCATTAACACTTCTTGTGTTTGAAACTAACAGAAAATGCCATGAATTCTTGGTACAAGATAACTTACAGTCGATATCCGGAAGACCACTGATTAATAACTCCAATTCCTTGTCGTTGAAAATGGATATTAGATCTCTAAGGATAAGTTCACTAAACCCTTCCAGGAATGCATTAATCTGAGGGCGGATGGCTGTGGTTAATCGATGCTCAGCAACTAGGTCAACATATTGATGCTTATTCTCCTCAGTAACTTTAATGTTCCGACCTCCAGGGATTAGTTCATGGTCAGTTACCTGCATTTTATACCTCGAAGTTCAGAAAAAAATATCAACAATTATTTCAAGGACAGTGTTAAATGGCTGAACAAGATACCTCCGTTTTTTCATAGAGTATCAGTTTTTCCTCATCAGCGTCAATGCTAAAAGTGAGATCTAGGACATCACTAATATCATGCTGCATATGGAAGAAAAGATGAGTAACAAGGATAGTTGATAGTGTAGTTTATTTCATTGCCGCAAAAGTATAAATACCTCCAACATCCATTTCAGGTTTTTATAGTAATCGGGGTCTATGGCTTCAATATCATGGTATGTAACCTTAACTCCCAAGATATGCTTGTAAAACGAACGAGTGAAATGGACATCAAGGAGTTGCCCATCAAACAGAGCTTTTCCAACCTGGACATGGACAAATCAAATTAGAAATTAACGCATAAACCAGAGCACTAACTCTACGTCATACTTAAAAAGAAGCTAAAACTTACAACACGGCCAACAAATTTGAAGTAGGAGAGGTGTTCTGTCTGGTAAACAGAGTTTGGATTTGGTTGGAAGGTTGAGTCATTGCCAACGGTTGTGAACAGAAGAGCACCTTTGTCAAAAATAACCCTTGACAGCAGCTGATACCATTCCCTGGTGAGCCCACCCGCATCAATACCTTCCTCTCCTTGGAAGTGAACAGTCAATCTACCTTTCAGTTCTTGAGTTGACCTCATTCGCAATTGGTTATATGAATCTTCAAGAATGTATGCTCTTCTCACAGAGATTCGCAGAGGGCTATGGTGATGATCATGCTGGTGCTTTATCTTTGATCTGAAGTATGCACGTTTATTATCAAATTCAATAAAACGTGGAACCTTCAGCATGAGTGAAAAGGACTTCTCAAGCAGAGCAGGATTTTGTCGGATAAAAGCATTAAGAAGTTTCCTGTGCCTTTCAGAAAACCGGATAAAAGAAGCATACTTCTCATCCACCTTCGAGCTAGGTCCTGAACCCTTTGGCTGTTCCTCAACTTCAGAAGCCATGGGAAACCCAAAATCATGTCCTGAACCAGACTGTGATGGATGCAACTTCTCAGACGTAACAAAAAATGACTCTATATAAGGCAAGATGTTCTGGGCACCAGCAGGCAGTGACTGGTTTACTCCAGCTACCCTTGTCGTTGAGCTCAAAGACGGAGATATAGTAATAGTCGCAGACTCAGAGTGCCCCTCAATTTTGCATATGCAATTGCTTAACTCAAGCCACAGAGGTTCCAAAGCTGAATTGATGTTCGACAGTTGAGAAAGCACAGCAACATGTTCTTCTGAATTCTGCGGCTGGTTTTTCCCTTTTGTGATTAACGAACCCATGAGGGAGCTTAATGCTTGCAAAACCCTCAAAATTGCAGATCCATCGGACGAAGTGGTACTTAGCAGAGCTTTCACTGCTTCACCGAACATGTGAAGTTCACTCATCGCTGTTCTTGTCAAGTTTTGTATTGCATTTGCCAGCTCAGTTATAAACAAATGACAATGACTTGGAGCAATTGCCACAAGTTTTTTCAGCACCTCCGCCACAAGGGTGTATGCGTTATCCGACAAACTGAATGAACAGAATAAGTAGTGAGACAAGATGTATAAACTAATAAATATGATTGAAAGATTCAAAGAATTGAAAGTAAGAAGTTATCGTAGATAAGCATCTGACATACCCTTCACGTGCAAGTAATGAACAAAGTAGACACAGCTCTGACTGGGGAAGATTCAGTAACACACTCTGAACATCACATTCACTATCTGCTCTGGTGGAAGAACTTGCAGATGAATCTATTGGCTTGGTTATTGTACCAGTAGAGCCAGATATAATATCATGATTTTCTGAATTGTTTTCAACTTCTAAACCTTGAGGTGTTGATTGTTGCTGACTGGCAGACCCATCTGATCTGTCAGCTGAATCAGACTTTCTTTCAGCGTTGTCAATGATGACCTCCAGTAAGTTCAACAGCTGGATTAAATGATGAGAAAAAACATCCATCCCTGAGTTCATTTTAATAAAACTAAGCAAAGCTAAACCATATGACTAAATGAAAAGGAGTACCTGTTCAAGATGAGCCACACTTCTCAAATAAAGGGGCTGGTTCAGGAGGCTGAGAAGCAAAGCGAAGGCTATAGATTCGGGTTCGTGCTGCTTACTGCCTATGTAATCATCACTTACTACAACAGCTTTTCCATGTGCCTTGTCTGAGGGTGTCGAACCTCGCAAGGAAGGCAGTGAAAGCCTGGATTGAAGCAGAATCTTGGCTACGTACATATGATTTCGAGCCAAATATGTCAACGTCTCAAGAACACGTCGAGACACTAGAGGAGGAACCCCTGCAAACAGAATAACAAAAATTATCTTAAAAATTCTAGCTTCAATAGTTTATAAACAGTAGAAGCATACAGATCATTGTTTATTGTAAGGGCATCCCGAGTCAGAATTCAGCTTAAAATAAATGCATACCATCAAAGTGCTGAGGACGTGAATATGTTACATTGCTTTGACATGCATAAAGACGATAAGGTGGTTCGGAAACACTTGAGTAGTTAACAGGCTTCCTTGTATCAAGCATCAACATATCCATGAATGTATTAACTAAGGAAAACCTTGTTTCGCCATGAGAACATAAATTCAGCAAAAGCCTCTGCAGAGGACCCTTGTATAGAGGCTGCAGATCAAAGACATATAGGTAAATTGTCGAAGTGATGGCAGTTAAATATCTTAATTTTGTGAAAGATACATTAGGTGCATTAGGTAGCTACCTGGACTATGCGAAGAACGCGGATCATTGCTTGGAGTGCCTCAGTGTTAACTAGAGGAGTTCCATCGGTTTCAATAACCTTTCCAGCAGACCTACGAGAAGCAACCCCCTCATTTCCAGACAAGACACCTTCACCTCGCCTGGATGGCTCCCCTCTACGAAGTCTTGGATGCATACCAAAAAGTGTGCGGTTGTGGTATCGATGAGCAAACCTTTCACGCAACATGTTTGCTTCCGCGACCAGTGCAGGTGTAAGATTTGCAAGAATAGCATCAGATGACGTTAACAAAACCTAAATACAAAAAATAAGATTAGATAGATATACTTATATCCGATTCTTATATCCTATTCATAACCATGACGCTTAAAGGCAATACTCTTACCTCTTCTCGCAACTCAGAAGGAAATGTCGCAATTATTGAAACTGTGTCCATCTCCACAGGTTGACCTTCAAGCTCCTGAGACTGATGAAGCCTTTGTGCTTGTTGCTGTGCCAGAACTTCAGCTCGGATATCATGAGGAAGTGCAGCAAGAAACTCAGGATCAATATCTCCTGAATTTTGCTGTTCATTGGTAGAAGGTTGTGGCACTTGTCCTTGCTGAGCTGAAAGGACTTCAGCTCGCAGTTCCTCTGGTAGGGCATCCAAAAATGCAGGATCAATAGAACCAGAACTAACATCCCTGTTTACTGGTTGCTCTGCTGGAGGATTATCCTGCTCAGCATCTTGGCCAGAATTCTCAGAAACCTCAGTAACACTGTAAAGAGAAGCTTCTCGTCCAGCTGAAGATGGCACAAGAGACAAATTTGCCCTTCTTGAGCGCATAGCTGGCTGTATCTCATGCCTTTCGGCACCATCATCATGACCATCAGCACTTCCGATTTCAACATCCAAACTCCTAAGGCTTTCCCCTAAGGTTGCCCCACTTCCGCCGCTTTCTTGGCTCACAGCTTCAACATCCCGGATAGTTGAATCATTTTGATCATATTGCATTTCGACTGACTGAGACTGTGGGCTTGAGACAGATTCATTAGCAGTGGCTTGCGTATCGGGCTGAGTAGATGCATCTAGTGAAACGACAGACGGGGCAGACACATTGGCACCTCCATTATCGATGGCATTTTCAGCTGGAATTTCAGGTCCGATTGTTGCTTCCTCGGACCGCCCACTCTCAGCTTGAGATTGGTGTTCCAAACGTGAAGAATTCTGATCAGGAGGCTTATCAGAGCTGGGTCGTCTCAACTGAGATACAAGCAAATCTTCAAGACCTTGCGGTACAGTAGACGCACCAGATCCAACAATTTGCTGACTGTCATCAGCCCACAAATTCAAACGATGCCCCTGTCGCCCATTCCTCAAGGATCGGAATATAGCATCTAGCCGTGATGAAGAACTACTGTGGGAATCCCTACCTCCATCAGCAAGATCACGCATGTTCTCTAGAAAAAAGAAAAAAAAAAAAGGGTTGATAAGCAGATTATTTCTGTAGGACGATCAACAGAAATGAAACAAAAGACTAAGAGGGATAATTTCATAATTATTATATAAGGCGGTTTCGATTAAACTAGAATAATAAGATGGTAGAAAATATGACATAAGATACCATAACAGAAAGGAGTGATGAACGAAGAATAGAAATGAGAACCTGTCTGACTTTGCGACGCTGGAAGTGATGCAGATCCCGATAAAAGAGGATGCTGTGAAGGAGTAGCCCCATCACTAGTTCTGCCGAGAAGGCTGTAAATAGAAGTTGTTCGTCCTTGGCGTCTCGAGCCAAAGACTTCAACAGGCATCACATGAAGTGTTTCATCAGAAAATCTATGATCTCTAAGAACCTCTAAGTGATCAAGAACGTTTAGCCCATTGATTCCATCTTCAAACCTAAGAATTACCCGATCTTCATCATCGTCGTCCTCTTCATCTTCTTCAACCAGTACTTCTTCTTCAAATTCATCATCATCAAGCTCATGATCATCTTGGTCATCTTGGTCAGTGTCATGATGAGGTAGGTGATGTACATCATCTTCTTCCAAGTCATTATCCTCCTCATCTTCTTCTTCATTATCGTTTTCATCTTCATCTATTTCGTCCCCCTCATCGCCAGACATCTCCTCGTCTTCCTCTTCATCAAGATTTTCCTGCGAGTGGGTGTGCATCTCAAATTCTATACCCAACGACCCAACCCCATTTTCTAGCCCCCTGGCATCCTCAGCTGCATCTTGCATATAATCATCCTCCGCTGGGGCAAAACCTTCATCCAAGTCTTGATCATGTTCCATGTCATCTGTCAGAGCCTCCGAACCAACATAGGTGTTGGAAACACCAAAATTTTCCACATGATCAGCTGTCATGGAATCAAGATTGGACCCAAGCATCCTTTCCACTGCCTGAGAAGCAACAACAATGGTATCTCCTCTTCCTGATTGCATTTGATCAGATGACTTGTTCGCATTATCATCCTTCGAGTTTGAATCAGCAGAATGGACATGCTCCTTTGTCACCAACTCCAAGACTTTTATGATTCCTGTTACAGCTTTGGGAGATTCTACATTGTCGAAGTCCAACACTTCAAGAGTACGAGTAAGAGACTTGACCAATCCAACATCAACAAAAGTAGCAGAAGCTTCTGAAGATATATGTGATCCAGTAGGTGACCGAGCTGAGAGCATATCACTCAACAGATCAATTAAAATTTGAATTTCATTAACTGGAGGTCTAAACCCATTGCACGTATCTATGAAGTCATTGAAGATACTGCCAATGTCTGAAAATATCCTCTTCCTAGCTTCAGATGATCGAACAGATGCACCCACTAAAAATTGATTACCTCTACTTGCTAGCTTTTGCCGCCAATCACTATCTGATTTCTTTTCCTTTTTCACCCTTGAGTAGGGAATAAACTTGTGAAGAATATGATGAAATATTCCACCAACTTGACCACTTTTCTGCTGGGGACCTCTGAGACTGTTAATTTCAGCATCTCTTCGAAGTATTATATGGATTGACGATGAATACATTAACAGCATCTCGCTCAAAAGCTTCAGAATGAAAACCATTTTAGCCAGTGAAGCTGACATATCCTGTGAATTAGCTTCCTTTTCTTCAGGTGTAGCAGCAACAGCTTTGCCTTTCCCTTTTGTAGAGGCAAGATCAATATCCATGTCCTCTAAAGTTGAATCACCTTCAACCATGTCGCCTTTTGGAGGAGGAATGAAAGTACAAATAGAATCCAGAAGTAGCTCAACAACACAAATGAAGGACTGGGGTGGTTTTCGGTGAACTTTAGGTGCCTTGGTGCTCCCAGGGGCTGGGGTAGTTGCCACTTTCTCATCATTAGAGGTCTGCGATTTTTCTTTCTCAGCTTTGTCTTTATCCTTCTCTTTCTCTTTTGATTTCTCTTTTTCTTTCACTAATACGATGTAAGGTCTTTCACCAACCATCTCTACTTGGCATATTGAACGAGCGGCCTGGATAAAAGTGACTGGATCCCGAGCAATTACTGAATTCACATTCAATAAAAAGTTGCGTGGAGATATTCTTGGATTTGAGTGCCTGTTAGAAAGTGTTGCGAGTGCATGCTTTATCTCAGATTCCATGGCTTGCTGAAGCGTTTGGGGGTCTTCAAGGACGTGGCGGATAATACTAGCAGCAACACTGTCAAACCCTGGAAAGAGACTATTACTCGGTAGAGAAAGTAGTGCTTGCACACCTCCAAAATCAAGAAAGCAGACAGCAACAGAATGTTTCCTCGTCAATGTAGAACAAAGCTGTAGAACAGCATGCATTGTTTCAGAAGGAAGCTGATTCCGGATACAGGTACAAGCAATCTCAATCAGTTTCTTCTGATCGTTAACATCAACAAGCTGTGGGGAGCCAAAAACAGATTGCAGCTTCTCTTGCTTGCTCTCATCAATGGTAAGAGATGTCTCACCCTTTTTCAACTCCTCACCCTTTTTCAACTCCTCTATAAGCTCAGTATTTAATTTCTGGTCCACCTGTAGCAGCCTATCAATGGCAAGAAATCCTGTAGTCACCCACTTTGGAACTTTGACTTTTTCCTTATCAATATTACCAGAATCCCACTTTGAAAGTACATCGCATACAAGTCTTACTATACCAGCCTTCAGCGCAACTTCACGTGAACCTGCATCTTCATGTAGAATCAAAGCAAGAACATGCAACAGAGCAGAGAGCAGATTGTTGTTTGTGTCATCGAAAACAGGACAGCAATCCTTAATCCGGCTAAGAAGGCAAGAAATAACACCAGATCGGTGTTCCCCATTGTTTTCTGAGCATATCAATACAAGTAAGTCTCTAACAGGAAAAGCAAGGGGTTCTTTCATCTGCAAAAGCTTCGTACATGTTGTTATAAGCTCTTCAACAGGTGGCAGTGAGACCAATTCTGCTTCAATTTGTTGTTGAGTTTCATCTGCAACATTCTGCTTTGTATCAGATTCAGAATTACCAAGGGACATGGCAAGAGCACGAGCAAGCTCATCATCATCATCCTCTGGGACTTCTTCCGGGTGGGAAAACAGCCACTCCATTGCCAACTCAACGCTGTCTGATCCAACCTGTCTCAAGGCTTCTACTGCTCTGGATCTGGAGAAACCCATCTCCACAATTGTCGAAATGGTTGTTTCATTAGGAGGTGGACCTGTGACACGAGCACTACCACTACCACCTAGGTTTTTCAGTTCAACTCCAGAGTACACATGCTTGATGATGGAAATGAGTGTAGTAACGTAATCATAACTACATTTGGTAAATTGTGGATGACTCCAAACAGGAAGTACAGCTTTCAACACAATGGACTGGAGAATCTTCACAAATGTCTCAGCATCTTGTGGAAATGGAATATTTCCACTTTCTACGGGTTGAACAAGCAAGTGCTTTGTGAATGGTGACAAGATAAATGATGATGTGACCAAATGGTCCATGAGTTTGCCATAGCTAGCCAGCGGACCATATATCCAAGCATGATCAGAATCTTCTTTTTCATCTTGCTTTCCCTTAACATCATCAGTCTCCATCGGAGATGAGCGGTTCCTATTAATAGTGAATAAAAGCTGGCTAGTAGCATCAAATGTTGTCAAAACCGCCTGAATCACCCCCCGGCTGTAAAAGCAATTAATCAGAACAGGATTACACGAATCAGGCCTGTCAAGAAGGATAGCATCGATAAAGTCAACAACTTTGCCAAGGTAGCGACATTTAGTTGACACCGATGCCTCAGGAAGAATCTCATGGCCTCCAAAATTTAAGTGATCCAGGGAGATTGAAGCAAACGTTGAGGCAACTAACTTAGATGACGGAGAAACATTGATTGTATCTTCTCTCCTACGAGATGGGAGCAGCATTGCCTTCCCTAACTCTTGGAATATGTAAGTGATGTGGAAGGATAGTGACCTCACCATGTCACAGCAAGATGTATAATAGGATCCATCTTTTTCATGTTCTCTTTTGCCAGTAACGTCTGATGAACTAGAGGGACCATCAGTTATAGGTCTTGGTTGAAAACCAGTTGATGCACGCCCAAGATCACGATAAAGATTTATTAAATCAAAGAATTGAGATTCTGCACTCCATCCTGCTGTCCTCCTCCGAAATGATGGATCAAGGAACTGTCTAAAAGAATTGAACCTTTGGCCTTCTGTTGCAGTTATACCCAACTCAGCTTTCTCTGACTCGGGAGACGAACTAGCCTTTTCGTTTTGACTTTCAAGTGTGGCACCCTCATGAAAAGCTATTTGCCACAGAATTTCACGGTGCAAGTGTCCAATATTTTCCAGAACATCCTTGCTTCCATTTGCAAACTCCAAAAGCAATGCACTTACCCAACGGTTATCCTTTGATGCAGCTAGAAACAAAAGAAACTCCACAAGGAAAAGAGAGGAAAAAATTCCTGAACTTGGAGAAAGTTTTCGATCCAGTAAGAACGTCCCTGAAAGATCTTGCAGCCCTTCTAAAGCTTTCCTCAATTGATCGCGAAGAGAAGAGCAAAAGGCACGAGCAAGAGAAGAAGAGTGATGTTGCGTAAAACCCTTGAAAACAATGGTGCTATGCAAGGCAATAGAAATCCCTTCAGAGGATTGAGCAATGCTAGGCCGTAAAAGAAGCTTAAGTAAAGCCTCGATGCCAGACTTCTCCACAAAGAGACGAGATGTCTCAGAATTCTCCATTGTTCTATGGAGCAGAATTATCAGATGAAAGATGCAGAGTTGAATGAACTGCTCATGACTGACACCAGAAGTTTCCTTTACATCTGAATCCATTTCCATTGCAGTACTTTCAGTCAGATCTACAGATGATGATGAAGAACCAGTCTCTCCAAAGCATGCAATTTTATCCACAATTTCAATAATGATTTCAACACCAGTGGCTCTTAGCGACGTAACATGACGCAAAAGCTCTTCCACAGCATTTGTAAACGGAACAATGGCCTCATTCATAGCTAAAACATACTTCTTGCTGGTAAACACATCGACAAGGAAGCGCAATGCCAAAGTATTTTTTACTGTCTCCAATCCTTTGCTATTGAGACATATTGCACCCAATCCATTTGGAATGCAAGCAAGAGCCTTTGACGAAGGAAGTATTCCTGATACAACAGAAGACAAAAATGCTTCAGGGAGGCCCATTTCAAACAGGGAAGTAAGAGACGTGGGGTCTTTGTGGATTATATCACTCATCACTGTGACAGCTGAGTAATAAATATCACCACCAAATTTATCTGCATTCCTGTATATTAAAGACAAAGTGGCAGGCAAAGTACTCTCATGAGAACTTTGAGACCTATTAGCATTTCCAGGGGTATACGTCGCAGAACCTAGAGACTTCAGAAGAACCTTGATGAGTCTCTTTCGGGATAACAAATGATCACCATTTATTTTTAAGGATTCACCAACTACCATATCACTGATGTTCTCTACAGGCAACCCTAGAATGTGATGTACCTCTACCTCTAACCTCTGAGACAAAAGCTCTACTCCCCCAAGATCCCGGAGTAGAGGTACAGCTGAACTACTATAATCCATGAGCTTTTGTAGTGCTTTAACAGCCAAATATACAAGATGCATGTGGCTTGGATCAGCATACTCCAAGAGAGGGAGAAACGTGGGAACCATTCCTGACCCCCTTATAGTGCTTCCAGACGACGATGATGAAACAATGTGAAGCAAATAAAACTGGAGTAGAGCCTCTACAAAAGCAATAGATGATGGATCACTTGAGATCTTCAAAGATAGCACAGCTTTCTGAAGCACGTTAAGCAGAATCATTCTGTTGCCAACAGCAAAACTGATGCTAGATCCGCTTAGAATCCTGGCCCGATCATGAGAGGCCGAGTATACAGCCAATTGCGCTCCCAATGCAAGCATTGCAAGAGTTCTAATGGTTCCAGGGATTGGTTCTTCAGATCTGACAATTCTGATTAATTCATTTGTATACTCAGGTTCATTTGCAAAGAAGGACGCAAGTTCGTCTTGAGCATCACTTGACTGAACAAGAACAATAAATGCAAGTAGGCAGATCCTGCTATATAACCGGCATATTCTGGAAGAACGAAAAGCATGAGCATATCTAATTCGGGTCAGTAAAGAGAATCTGAGCTCCGTAGGAACATTGTGAAGCTCTATACACTGCTTCATTAACACTAGATCATCCTCTTTCCTCATGTGTAAATCAGGAATTTGTATCACCCTTGAACAAGCACTAGCACTTCTACCATCATCTATTCTCTGGGCACTGTGTCCACGCAACTCAAAATAAACAGTAGAACCAATCCGAAAATCTGCTTCACTCTGATTATTTTCCACGTCCAAAGGAAATAAACTCAGACCTTCTTCCTGGTTTTTTTCGTTAGCGACAACACAAGAATACAAACCCAATCCTTCCTCTTTGCTACCCCAACCCTGGGCAATAGAGAGTAGGAAGCTGTTTACTGAACCACATCCAATCAATTTTCCACTCCTGTGGAGCTTAGATGGGCTGATTTTCACAAGCGCAGAAAGAGTTTCCAAAGCTGCAATGAGAACCTCTGGATCCGTAGAAGCAAGTAGGAGTTTAAAGTGCTGCAACATAAATGAAGTTGGAATAAATACTAGAAATTATAGCATCTAAGTTAATGAGCTCCAATACAGATCTCAGAAATGCATCACAGCCTTCACAATAAATTCGCGTACCTCTAAACCATCAAATGAACTTTTGTTGGGAGAATTTTCCAGAATGATCTGCATTGCCCTAAGTATTTGAAGTACTGTGTGCTTCGGAAAGGGATTCTCATCCTCAAGAATATTATCGGACAAGAGAAGGTCATTCCTATTTGATAAATATGTCTTGAAGTATTTATCAAAATGTAGAAACAACGGTCTCCAGTGATGAAAGTTCCCCTGAAATAATTTAATCATGTGAGAAACCACAAAGAAAGAACATAAGAAGAACCTGAAACTTTGAGAAAGTCACGTAATTATTACCTTACTGTACTCCCACCGAAAACCGGAGAGAGGTATAGCAATATCTGACAATGGACTCTGGATTACTTTGTCAATGAATGATTTGATTTCAGGTGGCTGTAAAACAAGATAACGTAGAGCGAAACTTGTTAGGACTAGGATGTAAATAAAATGTAAAAAGATTGCATTAAATGTATAATGATAATTTGCAAAGGAATGCTAGAGACAAAACAAGCTTATGAGAAAACAAAAACCCCAGTAATTAACACAGTGAAGGCTCTACTGCAACATAAGGTTTCTTCAATAGGTGCAAGAAACAACTTTTCATATGAAAGCAAACTAAGACACATATATATACCCTAACAAATTCTACCAATCAGGACTAACACAAGGGAGATAAAACCATGGACAATTAGACTCCAGTACAGATAAAACAAGTGACAAGATATTAAACATATCTATGCAACATAGCCTAAACCAAACTGGAAAATAACCCTAAATAATCATTGATGATCGTTTGACCACTAAGCAGACCAATAAAACGGTTGATTAAACAAATTTCCCAAATAGAAGAAAACCTAATTAAAAATTCAATCAAAGAAGCAAGAAACTTTCAAAAGAACTCACAGGCTCAGCGTCGAGTCTAATAGAAGGACCAATAGAACCTTCGCCGGATAAAAGCTGCCGGAGTCGTGACGGCATACTTGATGATCTCCCGGCCGCCATCTAACTGCTCCAGCGTCCGCTATTTTTTTCAAAAGCTACAAAACAAAAAAGAGTATGAGAAAACTCAATTTCAGAAACCAATAAGAAGGAATCCAAGAATCTAAACCAGATCAGAGAGAGTAGAGACGATAACGTAAACGGAAACAAGAGAAGCCTGAGATACGAATCATACGAATCTGAAAGAGAGTATATAGATAGATACATACCTCTGTGTGTATGTGTATGTGTATGTAGAGAAAGAAGAGAGACGAAGACGACGAAGTAGAAGAAGAAGAAGAAGAAAACCCCAGAAAAAAAAAAAAGAGAGTAGTGTTCGCTGCCTTCGATGGAATTTTTTTTTTATTTAATCAACCGAGAGAGAGAGAGAGAGTACAGACGGAGACTAGAGAGGGTTCAAGTTAATTAGGGTGTGAAAAAAAAAAAGTTAAAAATTGTCAGAAAAGAGGAGGTTAAATATTTTAGAGTTACAAGGCCTCTTTCTATTGGGCCTCTTCTCCTCTTTTCTTAAGTTGGGCCATGGCAATCTACTTGGATAATTTAGTCTTTTTAGGGTGTGATCTTTGAGGAGCTGATCAAGGCAATTAGTAACATGCTTAGGCTTATTGAGGATTAAAGATGAGTTTTCTAAAGAATTTGTTTATGGATGAGATCTGTTCGCGTAGAAGAAGGTTCGTCACGCCCTTCTTCCAGTTAAATAATCGGATGACTAACCAATGTGTTGATTTAATTGCAAATTCTGTATAATATAAGGATATGGGTATGTTGATGGGTGTAATAAGTGTTTATGTTTCTACAGTAAACCCTCGTCCGCTGACAAACTCTATAGCGATCATCAATCCGACGAATACTCGTCTCAATATTCTGTACAATGTCATCCATATTGTTAGTGAATCTGCAGTTTTCACTATCAAAAAGGACACCAACATCATAATCCCCAAACAAAGATTGAGTCATGATTTAGATCGGCAGCTTGCATAAAGTTGATCTTTAAAATATATTTTGGTGCACAAACTCATACCTTGTTGGATTTTCACCTACTCAATAGAGTAAAAGTCTATGCATATCATTTTTCAAAGGGAAATTCACATTTCTAACCTTCAAAGTATCACTAGGTAGCACTTTAAACCTCGAAAGAATTCCACTAACACTATAAACCATCAAAATAATTTTATTAACACTTTAAACCTCCAAACCACCTTTTCTGTTTGTCCCGCCATAAAAAAGTGATGAAAATTTTAATTTCTATTTGTTTAATATACATTTATTTAATTTCATTGAAATTTAAATTATTTTTATTATTTATTAAAATTAATAAAAATCTAAAAAAGCCAAAAAAAAAAAAAAAAAAAAAACTTCACCTTCTTTGTCGACCATGAAATTTCAAAATTAAACCTTTGAAACTATAGACTTAAGCACAAGAGAAATTTAGAGTATAATAATAGCCAAATAATGTATAATATGAGGTAAAATAGAAGCTTAAATAGAATAATAAAAACCAAAGAATGTCAAAGTTTAGTCAGAAAATGAAGCATTCTCCGTATCAGAGGAATCTACTTTTTTTTTTTTTTACTTTTCTTAATAATCGTAAAATCATAATAAATAATAAATTAATTAAAAATTAAATTAAATTAAATAAATCTATATTAAACATAAATTAATTATTCTATCATATTTTATGGCAATGTAAACATGAAAGCTAGTTTGGAGGTTTAAAGTGTTAGTAAAATTATTTTGATGGTTTATAGTGTTAGTGGAATTCTTTCGAAGTTTAAAGTGCTACCCTCCCATTTTTCAAATGTAAGAATACTATTCAACCTTTTTTTACACAAGGAAGAGTTAAGAATTTATAAACTTTTCATTAGCTTTTTGAGTAGAATGAAGACTCATGTACATGAAGTTTTTAAAAAGAAAAATACTTGGGTTCACCCCAATATATTCACCCCTTTTATTTCAGCCAATCAGAATCGGACACCTAATAATAATAAAAGAATTTAATTTAATTATAAAATCTACTTTGCTACTAAAACGAAATTATGTTTCGGTTTGGGTTTATTAGAAAAAGTCAGAGTTTAGATTTTATGATTAAACGAGGTTAAATATCGGTTTGAGTTTATAAACGGATTCAGATTTTATAATTAAACAAGGTTAAATATCAGTTTGGGTTTAGTAAGTACGATTAGAGTTTAGATTTTATGATTAAACGAGGTTAAATATCGGTTTGGGTTTATAAACAGATTTAAATTTTACAATTAAACAAGTTTAAATGTCGGTGTGGGTTTAGAAAAGACGATTAGGGTTTAGTTTTTTTTTACAATTAAATGAGTTTAAATGGCGGTTTGGGTTTAAATTAGGGTTTAGATTTTGTATTTAAACGAAGTTATATATCGGTTTGGATTTACAAAAGAGTGGGTTTTTAATAATTTAATTTAAATATTTTATTTTGATAATAATATTAATTTTAATTTTTTTAATCAGCTGACATGGCAAATTCTGATTGGTTATTAAAGAGGGGCGAATGAATTGGGTTCATTTAAAAATGTGTTTGTTAATGAACCAAACAAAATTTCTTCGGCTTTAAGCCCATAAACACTTTGGGCCAGCCCTCGTTCAATGCCATGAAGATTTTTTAAAAAACAAAATTTATATATGCTTAGTGATTATAATTAGCAATTTAAAAAAAAATCATTTTCATAAAAGCTTAACGCAATATTAGATTTTATAAATTAAATGATACTGTCAATGAATGTAATTTAAGTATACACTAGAAAAAAACTCAACAATGATTAAGTCAAGATCAACTTAATTCTAATAAAAATTTAGAAAATGATATTAAAATTGAAGGTTAGTTGAAAGTTTTTTTTTTTTTTTACCAAAAAGTTCTGAACCGAAACCTTACGCCCGAAGCTCTCTGATTATTCCAAACATATAAAATTGTATATTGATAAACAGATTCAACCATTTGAAAGAGCCCACAATTCTTATCAGGACAAGATTCATCAATATCATACATAAAAATGAAACTAATAGATGGATAAGCAAAGAACATTTCGCAATGGCATGTGCAACCAAGTCTACGAGCGTGCTCTAAATCAAAATTGACATTTAACTACCATCATTATCTCTTGATTAGCAAGCATTGCTTTCTTGTATATATGACTTATAATAATCATTAACTTCGATACATTAATCTGAACGCTTAGACTAATAAGACTATTAAAATATCAATAAACTTAAAAGAAACATTATTTTCAACTGATGCAAAAACTTTAACGAGCGTGGTAGTCGATGTCTAGGTTGAATTTTATCCAAAGAAACGATAGTCTTGTTTACAATATTTTTAAAGTTGAATGGCAGCAGAGTACAAAAAAAGTGTTAGAAAATTCTAAGTTAATCAGAATCTAGTAAACAAAACACACATATAAGTTTCAAGTAAATCCATTCTTGAATTTAGTTTTATGATAAAAGGAAAGATAAGTATCCAACTGATGTCAAATTGTAATTATACCAACATAAAAGCATCTTATTATACCATAATTTAGTATTTACTTATTTGGGCGAAAATAGTATTATAATGAGTGATTTCATAAAAAGTTTTGATGTTGCTATTATGAAATTCAGTTTATATCAAAGAAGGAAAAAAAAATGCCAAAGTCTCTAGTCTTATGTAAATATTGAAGAACACGCCTTAATATTAAAAATTCCTTAAGAAGTTGTTGACAATTTGTACCAAAAGACAGTACTGATCGAAGGATTAAACATATACTAACAATTAATTAGCATTATTTATTATTTATTTTCAACCAAATATATTAAAAAGATTGTTAGGAGTTAAATGTGCGTGGCTCTTTGTTAGGTGAGAGAGCATTAATTGCTTACTTAGACTAATAAATTCATCTACTTGTTTTCTTCTGATGGGTCTATATCCAGGCAAAATCTATCTATAACATATACACGTCATCGATGTGTAAAGCATTTTTATGTTCAAAGGTAGATTCCAAATCTTGGTCGGTCTAAATTTAAGATATGTTAAGGTTATCTAGAGCAATGCTTTTGAAAACTTCGACTGCTTTCTTTTGTAAAAAAGATTGCCAGACAATACGAAATTTTGACATACTTAAAACATTTTCAATCCACCTATATATTTGTCTCCAAACTCTATTTTAGAGGCAAATATTCTCCAACACACCTCTATTCTCACCTCTAAAATAGAGATCTCTATTTTTTGCTCTACATATAGAGGATCTCTATTTTTTCCTCTATAAATAGAGTTAAAACTTTTTTAGAAGAAAAAATAGAGGAACACATTGAAGTAAAAATAGAGGAAACTCACCTCTATTACTATTATAGAGATAATGATAAAAATAGCAAAATACATTGGAGATGGTCTTAGAAACTTCTTGGACCGACGTGTTGAAACAAAAAATGGTTTTGGCCCCATTGTCCATGATTATTATTAAATTGTCATCTCTTGCTAGCTTTCTGAAACGTCCACTTTCCGATTATGGTCAATTTCCGTAAGTTTTTAATATGATTAATCACTTTTATGGTAATGTGTTTATTTATAAACAAACAATCATTTACAATAGAAGCAGGACTTAGGACGCTATACAATGATTGATGGAACATAAAACTTAGGACCTAGGAGTGCCACTGGAAAACGATAAAACATACTACATCTTCTTAATTAGGTCACATAAACTTGGTAAGAGCTAGAGAAATTCAAAGACAGAAATAATTGTTTTGAAGAAGCTTTAATATGAGAATTTCAAAGACTGGTATGAAGACTTCTTCATGCATGTATCTCACTAGAAATAATGGTATAGGAAACGACTTACCTCTTACGACAAAGTTCTCCAACAAACCTTCAGCTTAGCATTTATTTTCTGATTTTTAATATATTTTTAAGTCGTCAAATTTTTAATTTTCATTTTTGTAATTATTTAAGTTTTGTCAACCTCAAATTTTATATTAAAAAAATTGTATTGGTTGCCCGGTCCAAGGAAATGTTGGTACAAAGAACCAATATTAAAGAGATTTTTTAGAAGATTATTTTTATTTAAATTAGGACTCAGGACCCCCGCAATGTCGCGGAGGAAAATATTGCAAAAACTTGTTTAAAAAAACATATCAAATGAAAAGTCATAATGAATTGTAACAGTTTTGAAAAAAAATATTTAATAATAAATCAATATATCTATATATATATATATATTACGAAAATTATGATAAAGAAAACTCTCACAAGCAT